GGGAGCAAAGCGCACTGATAGCTCAGTTGGTGTTATGCTGGACTACGAAAAGGATGACTTGGTTCGAATTCCCAAATCTTTTCTCTTCTTTTGTCTTAAAACTTTCTTCAGTGTTTTACGACTCTTGCAATGGCTAAAACAGCACCTGGACATGGATGGCTGGTGTCTCTATAAATAAATTATTGATGATGATGATGGACGGCTCTCTCAAGTGAGCTTTATTTGTTTTGTGGGAGTTAATAGGTTCTCTACCTATTTGGCTTAGTGCTATTGCGGATGGATGTTAAATTACAGTGTTGAAAAATGCGTTAAATCTTTATTATTGACAAGCGGTTCTGCGAGCTATCAAGAGAATGCTAAGCTCAGAGAGCAAAATTTCACAGGAGCGAGCAAAAGCTGTATTATTCTTTTAACAATTGTGCGTACATTATGTTTGTTTTTGGTGGGATTTTTTGTTGTTGTTGTTTTTTTTGTGTTTTTTTTTTTTGGGGGGGGTGGCTTTTTCCCAACATTTGGCATTTGAATTCAGACAAAATATTTCAAGCACGTACAACGGATGTCATAGATAAAGAAACTGCAATGATATAAGAACTCGAATTTTTTTACGTAGTACTTATTAACAACTGACCACCGAAACCCCTACATAGCAGATACCCACTCGGAGGGGGTGCAGTCTGAGACAGAGACGAACAAGAAAGTTATGCCTCATAAACTGATGAAATACAACGTTTAATATGTAAAACATGTAAATCGAACAACATTCGAGTGTGGCATAAAAATGTTTTGAAGTTACCAACGCTGCAGGGTGGCACTTGTAAGACGTTGATTTTAAAATGATTGGCAAAGCTGCTACCACGAGATATTTACATAATGTGCGTCACGTCTTATTAATCTGTGCGGGTGTGTTTGTTTCAGATTGTCGTATATAAAAATTAATGATAGTATATTATTATATTATGTAGGCTTAATATACATACACGTATTTATCAATTTCTTAAATTTCCTTTGTCTGCGCTGTGACAATTACAATTACATGTTTAATTTGATCATGTAAAATCTTTTTAGCTGGTAATTAAGAAGAAGAAGAATATCAATAGTATTCCCACTGCTCGTTTCAATTTTCTAAAAAAAAAAAAAAAAAAGAAGAAGTCGAAAGCTCTTAACATTCATAGATATGTCCCACTTCCAAATTCCTGGACATAATATCTATCTATCTATCTATATATTTATAGTATGTGTAATTATTTTGAGTCTTGAAGATGATGTTGTATAATTGTAAATAGTTTAAGTTCCCCATTTATGTCCATTTTGCTCTCGCACAAACTGTATCTTCCTTATTCTGCCCTCGAGAAGACGGATAGCCCCTAGGAGATCATAGACTGTTACAGATTACATATTAGCAAATTACTCCTAAAATCGCTCAGCTTTTTGCTATCTTTTTCTCTCTTGGGTGGGTTTAAGCATTTCAAACGGCAAGTTTCTAAGCGATATATTCCATTTACAGACATTACGAGTGTTTCAGCTTTTGTCTCGTCTGCTCATGATGGATTTTCGAGACAACATAGCGTGCAAACGACTGAGAATAATTATGTGCGTTTGCGTGCATGGGGGAGAGGATGGGGAAAGCTAGACTCTGTGTGCGTGTGTACGAGTGTGTGTGTGTGTGTGTGTGTGTGTGTGTGTGTGTGTGTGTGT